GGGGGGTGGGTGTTGGATGTATTGGGGGTGGGGTGGTGGATGTGCTGGGGGTTGGTTGGCGGCTATGTTGGGGTGGGTGGTGGCTGTGTTGGGAGTTGGGTGGTGGTTAATGTTTATTCTTTGGTTGATCTGAAATATTAATGTTTTCTATTTTCTTTGTTTGTAATTCCTTGGTTAAGACTAAAGCAGCCGGTTCAACAGCCATGTGAGATAGAGAAGTCACACTAATATTTTGTGACCTGTGTGTTAGGGAGATTGACCTAGGAAATAAACCCCACACCTATTTTAACAAAGAAAGGTGGCAAAATAATATGAAGAAGTTAAATGAAATGACAAGAAGGGAGTACAATAGGTTTGGTTGACATTATTTTGTTTGAGGATTTGCCCGTTGGAAGCTGTCGATCGTCAGAATCGGCCGGAATCCGAATCCCGTCGCCCGCTTCAGAAAGACATTTAATAAGACTTGAGGGTGAGACTCGATCAAATAAATTAAAAAAATATATGACATCCGTTTGGTCTACGAAAACTGTTTTATTTGCCGACAAGTTACTCTATTTAATACGAAGAATTAAATAGGGTTTGTATTAAGCTGGGTTCGAAAAAGCTTCCTATAAGGGTAAGACCCTATAGTTAATTACATCTTAGATAACCGAAGTCACCTAAGAAAACTCTCGATAAAAATCAGAGAATATTATCTTTAAAGAGGTCAAAAGGATAGGACTTTTCAATGAGATCAGACAAAGAGGTGTGAAAGGGGATTGACTCAAATTTGGAACATTTGTTGTAGAGTCCAAAGGAGGAAGAACTAAGGGATGTCACAAATCCTGAGGGGAGCCTCAGTGACTTCCCAAGCTATCCTAATGTTTGGTTTCAGTTTTGGAGAGAAATATTTAAATGTTCCATCCTGTCAATTTTATTTGTTTTAGGACTTACATTTATGTGAAACGATCACACAAATGACCTGAGAGATATGAAGATTTAGGTCGTAACGAACGACAACCTTAGAATTCTAAGACGAGTTAGGGCTTACATTATACAATAGAGCTATACGAAAGGCCTAAAGATGAGGATTTATGTTGCATAAGCAAACAACCTCAAAATCCTATGACAAATTTAAGTTTTTTAATGTGTCAAGTTATGATTTCAAATCAAATATTCCTATAGTTATGGTCATTTAAATATTATGGGCATGCTAAAGTTGATTAGAGCAACACCGGTTAAGATCCTACGGTTCCCTCATTCCGGCACCATTATTTTTTTTCGGATTCACTTAGTTCAAACGAATTTACTACGAATTTACTAAACTCAACTTAATATTTACTAAACTCAACTTAATGAGTTCCATACTTTGATTTATACCGTAGGAAATCTCGTTGCAACCATAGTTTACCTCCTCTGAGGGATTCCCGATCATCCGATAGAGACGTCTTAATTTAGTTGCAATTGTTGTTTTGTAATGTTTGTGATTAAATTTTGAGTTGTCTTATATTTTGAATGTTTTAGCGGTGAATTTTATTTTAGTCGACTTTTAGTTTTGGTTTTGGTTTTGCGGCTATCCTAGCAGTTTTGGTTTTCATGCAGGGTGACATCGTTTTTTAACATGCAAGCTCGAGGCAAGTAATACAAAAAAAGTAAATGCAATTATTTAAAAACGTACCTGTCGATTCTTCTCGTTCATCCACTTGAAAGGTTAGTACTTGCAAGACATGTATATAATTTCACAGAGAATTAAAATTACAGGTGTACATGAAGGTTTAGCTACCAAATCCCAAGTTATGATTTTATTTAATCTCGAAGGATCCTAGTAGATGATTTTAGAACAAAATATGACAAGTTCAATTTGCCCTTTAGAATGTCTAATAGATTTCAAAAATGCTCAAGGCATGACCCTAGACCATTTTAAAGATCTATTGAAATATTCCAAGTTCATTTTGAACTTATCATATTGTTCCATTAATCATCTAAGGTTTAATTGTGACTACCCCGTTGCTTAATGAAACTTGACAATTTAATTATCTCGAGGATAAGATATCTAATTAATCAATTGATGTTTTGTTTAAAGGTTATGCGAGTGGGTGCCCCTAAGGCAAGTTTAGGTCATTTAAAGATTATAGTGCCCATAATTTAAGTCACTTATAGTGTTTAAAGATGTTAATCACCAATCATGTTATCTTTTAAATCCGATCAATTGAGTTTAGACATCAAGCCTAGGTCACTATTAAGCCTTTAACAATCATGATAGGTGAAATGGTGAGCATCAAAATTTTGATTTAAGCGATATGTATTCTTATTAAATGATCACATCATCCTCAACTCTGGCCTTAAGAAATATAAATTATCATCTTTTATATCTTAAGCCCATCACTTAAGAATCGTTTGATCTTAGCCGACTTCCAAGTCATGAAGATTAGGAGAATTATGATTTTGTTGATGTTGTACAAGGGTGGTGAGCGAGTTTCTACCTTTTAATCCCATTGTATTTCAATCATCCAAACATGTCTATTAAGATTAAAATTATCCATTTCTCCTTTGGTTAATCCTAAATTTTGATGAAGGCATCAACGTCTAAAATGACTATTTTGCCCTTGGGGCACTTCACCTCATAACTCATTAACCACAACTCAAATGACTTTGAGGGTTTAGAGTGGCATATCCATGAGGTAATTATAATGTTAGAGGAGAATATGCGGACTTCTCAAAATTTAATTTAATTTAAATATTTATTTAAACCCAAAAAATAAGATTCTTTAAAAATTGACTTATTTAACTATACCAAATAAAGTTTTTTATTTATCAAAAAATTATTAGAGGTTTTCCTAGGTTAGAGAAATACTTAGACAAAATTTCATGATTTTTTTGAATTAAATTTTTATTATTAATATTTAATTATTAAGAAGTTTAAATAATTTAATCAAGTAGAAAATAATT